GTTCTACGGTTTTGATAACTTCCAGCAGATTCTTAGTGTCTTTCATATCCTAGAAATGCGTCACTGGTTTTTTAAATTTACTACGTCTAATATTATGATGGTAAAAGTATACCCTTACCTTTGCAAATTTCAAATGTAGATCCGATAAGTTCACCGATCTGCTCTTTGTTATTAATCCACTAATATCCATTAAATAGATCTTTCCGCAAGCCTCTTCTTCGCTTAACCCTTGGTCAACCATCTCCTTCACGCACAACTCCGCAATTCCTGTAGCTGCCTGGAAACTACCCAGTTTATATCAAAAACAATCATAAATTTCTCCTTTTTTCACAAAACATACCGCACCAGCACCAAAAAACACTAATTTGTGCTCCTTTAGTGGTTTGTTGGTGATGCGAGTGGCAGCCAACAGACCGGCGAGGACAACAGCAGCAGTACCTAAGATGGGTATAGGCATTCTATAACTCCTAAAGCTAGAATCAGCGCTGACTTACCTTGTATATCGTCGTTGAACATACAATATTGGTTTTTATACCTGTCCAGAAGACGATATGCGTTTTGATTTGCAAAGTCTTCAAATTGGATGAGAGTGTCTTGACCAAATCTACAATATACTTGCTAAAAAATACTTTTAACGCAAAAATCTTTCTTTTTTTTCATTTTGCATAAAAATTATCAGTCTTTACGTCTGCCTTATTTATATTGCAGTTCTGTCCTCAAAAATAAAAGATACCGTTTCGATTTAGTCATAAAATAGAAACAAGGCTAGGATTTTTTACACCGAATAATTTTTTATATGACTTGATAATGAATGATGACTCAATATATGACTGCAGGCGTTAAGGAAGCTGATCCTCTTTATTGATAAATACCAGTTGTCAATATTTTAATTACGTGAAGGATAAGGCGTCTGCCGCCTAAAAAAATAATGTTCTAATTCTGGCAACGTACCGTTTTGTACATGCTTTCATGAAATTATCCATTAAAGTGTCGTATTCTTCACCTCTAACCCGTTTTCGTCTTAATCCTGTGTAGAATGGATCATTTAACAAACCCTAAATTGTACAATATATCTCTGGAAATTCCATTCGTAGATGCTATAGCTTACCTGATTATCAGTTCCCACATCAATAATAACAGGCAAGCACCACTCTGGTTGAATTCCGGCTAGAGCAACGTAAAGGGAGAGCTTTCCGACTGGAATACCTATTCCATAGGTGCCGAGATCACCAAGACCAAGAATTCGTTCCCCATCCGTAACGACGATTGCCTAAAGACGAAAATTTTTTGTACCCAGGATCAGTTCCGGGGACTATACCAACTGATTTAGGTTGGTTTCTGCCGTGAATATTCACAAGTATAGTAAGATGAAAAGCGT